GGAGGTGGAGGAGGACGACCCGGTTCCCGAGATACGCAGGGATCACTTTGAGGAGGCCATGCGCTTCGCTCGCCGCTCCGTCAGTGACAACGACATCAGGAAATACGAGATGTTTGCACAGACTCTGCAGCAGAGCCGTGGCTTTGGCAGCTTCAGGTAACCGTGGGGGAGCGGGGTGAGGGCAGCGCGGCTCCCGGCCCCCGGGCGCAGTGCCGAGCTGGCTTTCTGCTGGACTCCGGGTCACAAACCGCCCCCGTCCACCGCACTTCCCCGATCTCCCTGCCGTGTACAGCACCCGGCACCCAGCGTGGTGGGTGTAGCTTGTGCTGCAGGTCCACTGGGGCTGCTCTTGGTGCACCTGAAGTCCACAAACCCTCCTCCCCTCAGCACACGCAACAGCCGTGTGACCTCCCCTAAGGCTTCACTCCTGCCTGTCCGGCACCGGGGTGTCGGCGCAGAGGGAGGGGATGGTACTGGGCTGCCAGGAGGCCTTTGAACAACGTCTCTCCTCTCCCCGTTGCCCCGGGGCACGCAGGTTCCCGTCAGGTAACCAGGGCGGAGCTGGTCCCAGCCAAGGCACAGGAGATGGCAGCGGGGGCAACGTGTACAGTGAAGACAACGACGATGATCTCTACGGTTAACTCGCTGTCCTCGGTGGACCAAACTCCAAACCAGGCCACGTTGTGCAGGGAAAAATCCAATGTTCAATGGACTCTTGGCTTCTTCATTCCTCAGTCAACAGTGTAGCTGCACGTCAGGCTCTGCACAGGGGATATTTTCTGCAAACAAATACAGACCGGTTTTAAGTGGGGAAGCAGACAATGAATTATTAACAAGATGGGGATACAATGTAATTTCTGAGAAATTTCTGTTTTAGTTTATGTCGCAGCTTTAGTAAAGAATACAACGCTAGCCTGTTTAAAAAAGAAAAAAAAACCTATAAAAATAATTAAAAAAAAAAAAATAAAAGCCCTGCAAAGCAGTAGCCAGGCGCCAGCAGTTCCTTTGCCCGTAAGCCTATGCCTCAGGGTTCTCGGTGCTCCTCCCTCTGCACCCCATCTCCGTTTGGGGCTGCTCTTTGTTGTTAACACTCTTAGCCCACGCTGGTGGAAGAAAGGGGTTTGTAAGTGTCCCTGTCCTGCCCTGGTTTGCCAGGGAGCACAAAGTCCACAGCCTGGCAGCAGGTATCTGGTGTAGCCTCGATGCTGGCCCTGAGCTGTTGCATCCCCTCTGCAGCAAAGACCTCCAGCAATCCCTGTCTCACCCACCCTGCCTGAAGGTGGCTGTGAGGGGCACTGGGGCTGTCTCTGGGGTGTGGTGCTCTGTGACACCACCGTGGGTAGGGAAGAGGTGTGAAATGTGCTTAAGCTCCCATCTCCTTGGTTTCTGATGACAAGTCAGCTGGCTGGTGTCAGGCAGCCCCAAGTTGTGCCCCAGACTCAGTAGTGGGACTCTGATCACGGGTTGTCTTCTTTCCCTCTTCCGCCTCGCTCCCTGGTTTATTTTCCCTTCTATGAACTGAAAAATGTCCACTGCTGTGCTTCCTTGTGTTACATGAGGGGAGCCCTGGCCTGGTCCCAGCACATGCAGCAGGGTGGGAGCTTGTCTGAGGCAGCGTGCTGTCAGCTTTTAGGGGGGTGCAGTAATGGGGGGAGGGGGTCTGCAAAGAGGGTTAAATGCAGATTGTGTAACAAGGTTGCCCCAGGTCTTTGGGGCTGAGCCATAGATGAAAGGGCAACCTTCTGCCCCTCTGCAGGAGCTGTGTGGGGTCCAGGGGGGTGGGATTTTGTGCCCTAAAGCCTGGCAGATCTCAGGAAAGCCTCCACCAAACACCAGGTTTAAGGGGAGAGTATTTAAGTCTCAAAATGGCAGAAGGACAGGCCTGTCTGTGATGGGGAGAAACACGCTGAAATTGGGAGCGCTGTGTTTAAATAGCACAACCTCCTGCGGGGTAGGAGGCCACCATGCCCCCTGGGGAGGGTGGGCAGCTCAGGTGCTCTGTCCTACTTCAGAGCTTTGTCGTACCGCTCCTGCCCTGTCCTCGTCTCACCCCTGTTGGAGAAAGGGCTGCTGAGAAACATCTGCTGCTTGCTCTGGTAGGGATGGTGCTTCCCAGCCCCCACACCAGCCTTTTTTGTGTTAACTGACACCTGGGAACTTAGACTCCAGAGCAGCTTCCCTTCTGCAGGGCCACAGATGCTGGTTTTGCTTTGGTGTCTTGACTGTTTCAGCAGTGCAGCCCCTCAAGAGAGGCAGCTCCAGCTCGGGGGCAACAAGGAGCCAGCCTCCTTCAGCCACCCAGGAAGGGAGCCTTCCAGAACTCTCGCCAAGGCCTTCTCCAGCTCTGGCAGGGCCTTGGTGTCTTCCTCTCACAGTGTGGGTCCATCACCACCCAGCAAGCGCTAGGGGAAGTTCCATCCTGGCATCTCTGTCTGCTTTGGAGGCTGGGGCAAGCAGGGCGCGGGATGGTGGGGTCTGTGTTGGCTGAGGGAACAGGGATTGTTTAGTGTGGAGAAGAGGAGGCTGGAGTGAGGTGGGAGTTAGTCCCTTCTCCCAAGAAATGGATGATAGGATTGGAGGAAATGGGGTTAAGCTGCACCAAAGGAGGTTTAGACTGGATATTAGGAAGAATTTCTTCACTGACAGAGTGGTGAGGCATTGGAACAGGCTGCCCAGGGAGGCAGTGGAGTCACCATCCCTGGAGGGGTTCAAAACACATGTGGATGTGGTAATTCAGGACATGGATTAGTGGCCATGGTAGTGTTGGGTTGATAGGTGGACTCGATGATCTTAAAAGTCTTTTCCACCCTTAATGATTCTATGCCCTATCTCCTGGCAGACCTACTCTTCACTGATGCCTCTCCTAATTGCAAATGCTATTCAAATTTAGCAGGACAGCTGCAAAACCTCATCTTTCTTCCATACCCCCTGTGGGACATGGTTCCTGGTGAGTTTGTCACCCATGGGAGCTCTGAGAGCATCTGTCCCTGCCCTGGAGCAGTGCAGACCTGCTGGGGGGATGTGGGTGTCCCCCAGATCAGCACCTGCAAGAGCTATGGCCCTTGGCTGGGCCTCCCCACCCCAGTGAGCCCCACGTAGCCCCAGGAGAGTAGCTGGCACTGCTTTCCCCGGG